TCGTGGGAAAAAAATAAAGACTGCAGTAGTTAGCATCAGCGTGCGGCTGCCAGTCCATCGAGGGGGGGTCTAGTTGTTGCCTTCTCCACCGTCATCATCTTGCTGATCGCTCGTCCAGAGCGTTAGGTTGTCACGAAGGAGCTGCATGATGAGCGTTGAGTCTTTGTAGGAGTCCTCGTTGAGGGTGTCCAGCTCGGCAATGGCATCATCGAAGGCCGTCTTGGCCAGGTGGCAGGCCTGCTCCGGCGCGTTCTGGATCTCGTAGTAGAAAACTGAGTAGTTAAGAGCCAGACCGAGCCGGATGGGATGGGTCGGCTGCATGTGCTCCTTGCTGATCTCATGAGCTTCGCTATAGGCTTTCTCCGAAGACTCCACCACGGTTGCCCTCTTCTCACCAGTGGCCACTTCAGCCAGGTAGCGGTAATAGTCCCCTTTCATCTTCAGGTAGAAGACTTTGCTCTCGTACTGCGTCTCGCTGCAGTTCTTGATCAGGTAGTTGTCCAGCAGGCTCAGCACATCCTGGCACACCGCTTCCAGCTCCTTCTCAATCTTCTCACGATAAGCTCGCACCATTTCTATCTTCTTCTCGTTCCCATCAGCGGAGGTCTTCTGCTCGATGCTGCTAATTACTCGCCAAGAGGAGCGCCGTGCCCCCACCACGTTTTTGTAGGCGACAGACAGCAGGTTCCTCTCTTCATTAGACAGAGGCTCGTTCAGCTCCGTCACCTGCATCGAGAGAGGGAGAGAGAAGAGAGACACTTGGGTTAAGTCCCAGTCACTCCATGTTCCCATCACACGTTCAGGTGCTCCCACACATCTCTAGTGAGACACAGGAGAAGGCAGCCAGCTTGCAAAGTCCTGCTCTGTCATCTGGCATCCGCTTCCATCCTAGAGGGAGCCGGCTGGGAAATGATGCCGTTGTCCGGTTCCCCAGCAGAAGAGGTGGGTTGGGTTTTATTTGCAGTATTCTCCATCTCTCAGAAGGCCAGCATTTTCCAGAATGGGAAAAATCCTCTAGGAAAGAGACGCCTTTCACCTGTGGGATGAGAGTCGGACTTGGTGACGCAGGTGAGAGGGACAGTCAAAGCAAGAGGGTGGTGATGGTCTAGGGTGATGAGCCAGCCACATGGATGAACAACACCACAGCTACGGGGTGTTCATCTCTTCCGTTTCCCATAAGCACAGACCAGGCTTCTGAGACGCCTAAAGAACACCTTAGATGATAAAATTACAGCTGCCTAAGGCATCTGCAGAGATACCATGTGAGCTTTTAAATCCATAAGAGTATGTTCTTCCCACACAGGATTCTCTTCATTGATGGCGAGAGTGTCAGTGCACAGCATCACTGTCACCTGCCTCACACGCCATGGCAACAGAGGGGTTAAGGAGACAACGGAGCACGGAGCCATCTCACAAGCAGGCTGCCAACACCACCCTGGCTGGTTCAGTTACTGGGAAGCATCACACTTGATATGGCAATAATCCCATTCCAGTTCCTGCAAACCCACTGCTGGCTGAAGCCACCCGGGCAGCACCTCTGGCACCAGCGAGGCAGCCGGCCAAGTGCCACGGCAGCTGCCTGGCTGGATGGGCAGCATGGGAAGGGCTCACACCCCTTTGTCTCCGTGCTGTGCCCCATACTATGGGTCTCAGACCCTCAGAGCGGGTGCAGCAGTCTGGGATGCTCCATACAGCCACTGAGCTGGGGTAGTTACTGCTGCCAAGTGGCACTTTGAGCCTGGATATTGGCTGTTGTTCCATTTCCCAGGGACACCACCCCACCATATACACACCCTGGGTATGGCCACGTGGGAAGCAGCCAGCGAAGCAGGAACCTGCAAGTCTCATCTCATCAGTCGCTTCTCACAAGGATGAGGTCATGGTTTGGATGTGAAAGGTTTCTGCAAACACTGAGTCATTTTCACAAGTGTTTGCAAGGACAAGGTTTGCTCTGGGCCTAGATAACCACATTTATGGTGGTGATCAGGAGGCCAAGGGCTCACGCTGGAAGGTGTAGGATGGTCCAGCCCAGGACCTTGTTTTAACAGCATGGAATGACTTATGCTGCTTATACCATATTGACCTGCTCATTCCAGCAACATCCACTCCTGCCTGCAGCTCTCCCTGCAGCCTTTCAGCCATAGTCTGGTTAATGTCTTCTCCTAAAACCAAGCTACAGTTAACCCTTCGTTCCCCAGGCAGCAGAGGGTCCTCCTGTGCAGACCAGGCACAACTGCCTTCTGCGCCAAGGGTAGGAGACGGCCGAGGGACCAGGGAAATGGGTGTCACGTTAAAGAGGGGAGAGTCTCTGGTGACTATCAGCAGCTGTCACCAACACAGGACAAGGTGCACGGGGCAGCCTGCCAAGGCAGCTCCCAGCTTTCACACCCCAAGGTAAGCAGGGTGTGCAATGCCCGGGCCATCCAGCAGCTCCCGGTGCCAGGACACTAACCCATGTCCCAGCTCTCCCAGCCAGGCTAACGGTGGCTATTTAACCACACAGCCCAACTGACACGTGCTAAAATACCCTTGGCAGGTCATTTAGATGCTGCTGCTTCCAGGCTGCTTTGTGCTCCAAGTTCAGAGGTCTTCAGCTGTCTGTATTTCTACAAGACTTAACTTTGAGTTGACTCCATTCATTCTTCCCTCTGACTGACACCTGCACAAACATAAATTAAAGATACTGTGAGGGTAAAGCCAGCTTTGAAAGGTACTGGAGCACAATGAAGGTGTCCCCCTGCCCTTAGAGCTTATGGGTTGTCTATCCTTGGAGATATTTAAAACTCAATCAGGTTACTCAGGGTCTTGTCTGATCTAAGTTGCCCTGCTTTGAGTAAGGGAATTGGGACTAGAAACATCCAGAAATCCCAGCCTGACTCATTCTCCTACCTTCCAGCTGTAAATGGAGTGTTCAACATTGACTATCATACAACAAGAGACTTGTCAGCTCCAACAGTTTTCTATCCTGATGCTGATTATGGAGGTTGATAACCACATGATGTCTTGCTTTCATTTCAGCGAGATGCTCAGAGCAGAGATACCAGTAAGTGTGGCCCAAGCAGGTGACTTTAAAGCTGCCCCACAGCCAAGTCTGCAGATATTTATCACTGCAGAAAGAGGTAGATTTACCTCTTCTCACCAGAAGAGTCTTCCTGGAGGACAGATTTATTAAAGCTACAGGGAGTTTCATAGGATCAGCTTTGCCATAAACATTTTAAATTCAAAGCTATGAAGGATTATGGAAGAAAGTTGCCTGTCAAAATCCTTTCAACAAAGTGGCTGACAGAAAGTACACCTCTGGAGAAAGCAGATTCTTCCAGGGAGCTGGCAGGGAACTTATTAAAGCAGAAAAGGAACCTCATTAGCCATGTAACTGCTTTCTAGCAGCACCTGGGCTCCCAGCAAGGCAGAGCACTGCAGAGATGCACTGCAGAGAAATGAAGAGCTGTAACATGGCCGGAGACAGGGACCACATCCCTCAGCACGAGGAGAGGGAAGGGAAGGGGCTGCACTCCTGCATGCCCCTCAGTTTGCACCTGAACTGAGAAAGGAAGAAAGTTCTCCAGCATGGGATTGCACAGTCACCATCATGCTGCTGTTGCAAACAGCGCTGTAGGGGGTAAACATCTCCAGCAGAAGACCACCTAGAAACCACTGCAGCGACTTGTCCAGCAGATGCAGGTCTGTGCCTTCACTGTAAGCCTGTGCTGGCCAACCAACCAAACACTAATTTTTTTCCTCACACTGCAGGATATCAACACAAAGCGAGTTCAATCAAGCCAGAGGCTAAACAGCAAGCTCTGGTATATTTAATTTATAGCATTGTGCTGAGTGCATCTGATGCAACATCAATAAGGCAATATCCTGCAGCAGGCCTGGAGAATTTTTTGCTGCTTGTTTCCAGCATCTAGACTAATATTCCCAGAATCGCCCCCCCCCTTCTTAACTCAGACCCTGGAGGGGTCTCACCTCCCTTAAGAAGGGCAGTACCCTCACATACAGACCACCCCTACAAGTATTAGGTCACCTGACGCCATTCCCAGCGCTCTTACACGGAATTAGAGACTTCAAATATCCAAAGGAAAAAAAAAAAAAATCTCAGTTTGACCTTGAAAGGACTTGGCAGGAACACAAAGCCATCAGCCTCTGGCTGGAAGTCTACTGCTCTCTGGGAAGCTCATTCATTTTAGAGTTTTACTTCCCTGGTTGACAGCAGAGAAAAGCAGAATTTGCACCCGAAATCTCAGTAACTGTCACCCTCGTGTCCCTGTCAATAACTGGTGGCCAGGAGATGCAGACGGTTGAAATAGAGTCAAGTCTTGCATGTGGCATAAACAGCCAAGTGCAAAGAGCTGGTCCATGTGCTCACAGAGCTGGAAACTTGAAGGATGCAAATCTTGTAGCTATTGTAGGAAAAATGGCCCTTTTCACCCTCATTTTTGCTTCTTCTCCCCAAACAAGCCCAGCCACAAGACTGGTTCTTTATTGCAGCAGGAGGTGACCTCAGCTGTGGTGTCTCTCGTCTCCCTGCGAGTCTGCAGGCAATGCTCTTCCTTGCAGGAGCTTCCCCTGTGCTCTGTCATGGGATGTGACACACGTGCCAGGAGCCAGACCCCTGCACACCGCAGACAGCCCTGTGCTCAGCAGAAGCCCTGCCCAAGGGCAGGAGCAGAGGAGAAGACACCAAGTTGGGGAGTGCAGGTCTAGACCAGGCTTGGCATGGAGCAGTCTACGCTGACAGGTTTTGGCTTGGAGGCATGCTCTGTCACCTACAGCTTGAGGACGCTGCCAAGTTCCAGTCTCACCAGTTCCTCCAGCCTTTCAGGGTGCAACGTCTGCACCACCAAGACTCAAGTGCCCTAAAGCCACAGGGATAGTCCAACAGTTCCCGCTGGATAAAAACTACTGGACGTTTAGGGTTTCTACTGCTCAAAAGTCCAGAGGTTTGCACAAACCAAAGCCCTCAGTCGTAAAAAAAAGCTCTTCAGAGGCAGCAGGATCTTGCAGAAGGTTCTCCTGATTTCTCCAGTACAGCTGCGGGCTCTGACTCAGCGCTCTGCCCAAAGCCTGGCAGGCTCCTGGCATGCCCAAGGATCGCATTGCAGCCAGGGTGAAGGTTCAGCCTCGCACAGAGAAGCCAAGGAGCGTGCAAAGCTTTACTTGCCCCTAACATCAAGGTCCGTGCTCTCCAAAAGCCCAAGGGTCGGTCCTACTATGACATCCTTACAGAAGCTTTCTAATTATCAGGCTTTTTTTGAGACCTTCAGAGGAGGTTTGCTCCCAGCCAGTAGCACGTTAGTTTGCTCATGGGGCTTATTCCTCATGACTCTCATCCTCTACTTCTCACCTTCCATCAGCAGGTCCGAAGTAATAATTTCTGAGTACATCATGAAATAATTATTTCTGAGGATCCTTCAGCAGCTGCGATGGAGATCCACCACAGGATTTAGTTTTATCTGTTTATCCTCATACACGTGGATTTTCACTTAGTTTTATAACTAAGTGCCCACCCATTTATGGCTCCTATCCAGCTCTGATGTCTTATCTTAAAGCATGCAGCAGAGCAAGCTGAGCACGCCCGGAGATCCTTCCCTGGGGAATACCATCAACATCTGACAGTTTAATCCATGTTATAAGCCTCAACACTTTTGCTTTTCTGATTGCCTAGAAGAGATCCCAAGTCCTTGAAGACATTAGACATCTACAAAAGAGCCAAGCTAAGCTTTCCTG